TGCTTTCCCCGGAGGAGGAGAACCGCCTCTTGCAGCAGGAGCTGTCCCGGGTGGAGGACTTGCTGGCGCAGAGCCGCGCAGAGCGGGATGAGTTGGCCATCAAGTACAACGCCATCAGCGAGAGGGTGAGTGCGGACACCCTGCCACAGGGCTTGTCCGTGTCCTTCCTCGGAGTCCGGGCTTGTCACTGCTGGGGACACCCCTTTTGGCAACAGGTGCCTGGGCCGGGGGCTGTCCAGGAAAGACAACAACGAGGTTGCTGCCCAGAGGATATCTGGAGGGATTGTGTGGGGGCACAGGAGGGTGTCATTCTGCATGGGGTCCGTGTTTTGCTTCTGCGCCGCCTCCCATGAAGGCAAGTTCTTTGTTACTGCCCTAACTTGTCCATCGATGCATATGGAGGCTTAGACCAGGGGTGGCCAAACTTGCTTAACGTAAGAGCCGCATAGAATAAACGTCAGATGTTGGAGAGCCGCAAGACATGAGCAAGTATTACACACATTTTTATTGAAAAATATGCAAATTTGTTTGTTATTAACATTAAATGAGACTGCCAAAAATAAAAACAGATATTGATAATGATATTTATTTATTCAATGATATTTGTAGGTGGGGGGGGGCTTTGAGAATGCATTTAAAGTTAAAATTGCTTTCTTTCTCTGCTCCCCCCCCCCCCCAGCCAGCCCAGGGAGGGGAAGGGAAGACCAGTCGGGGAGGGGCATGCAGTCCCCTTCGCTCCCCCGGCCGCCCCACCGGGAGCTGCACAGTACGTACGTGTGAAAGAGCCGCACGTGGCTCCCGAGCCACAGTCTGGCCACCCCCGGCCTGGAGGCCAAGGGGAGAGGAAGGCAGCTCTGCTCCTGGCCTTCTTGGGGGGGGGGGGGGGGCGGGGGGGGGGCCGGGCCCAACCCACTGCGCCCACCACAGTGAGTCTCCCCTCCCCGGGCGTGGGGGCTTTGGGTCCCCCCTTCCCTTTTTGGGTCAAGGGGGGCAAAGGTGTCGCCAGGCTGGGCTCTGTCCTGGGCGTCCTTTGCTGGCTTTCCTGTTGTGACACCTTTCTTTCTTCCTCCTCCGCTCTGCCCTCACTGCCGTGCCCGGAGAAAAAGGGACCTGCTTGGCAGAATGCCTTGGCTGGCTCTTTGTGGGTGGGGTTCACTTCCCCCTCCCCTCCGTCTCCTGCTTGCCCGGACGTGTCCGAACGGGAAGGGGCGCTTGCTGGGACTTGCTAGCTCCAGTTAGGCGTTGGAAGGACTCGGACCATCAAAGGCAGGACGGAAGCCATCCAACATGTGAGGGCCAAAAGGCCCTTGGCGGGAAAGGGAGGAGGTGACGCGAGGGGCATTCTGGGCCCTCCCCAGTGGCAGCCCTGTCTGGCAGGCTCAGGGCCGCTCCACCCACCCCACCCCACCCCGTCGCAGGTGGGAAGGGCCCCAGGAGGCCTCGTGGGGGACTTTGGGCCTCTTCGCCTCAAGGGTGGACTGTCAGTTGTGTGTCCGTAGTGCACTTGTTCCTCCTCCTGCTGCTGCTGCATCACACGTCCTGTCCTACATCCTTCCAACACTCCACTGTGGTGTCGTGGCTATAGGAGCGCGGACTCTGATCTGGGAGAGCCGAGTTGGATTCCCCACTCCTTCCCCACAGGCAGCTGCTGGTGTGACCTTGGGCAAGCCCTAGTTCTGACAAGAGCTGTTCTCTCAAGGGCAGTTCCCAGTCAGAGCTCTCTCAGCCCCACCCACCTCACTGGGTGCCTGTCTGTTGTGGGGAGGGGAAGGGGAAGGAGATCGTAAGCCCCTCGGAGACTCCTTCGGGTAGTGAAGGGCCATGGGGTATGAATCCAATCTCCTCTCCTCCTCCTCCTCTTCTTCCACGGCTTTTGGGCTCTCGGCACTGCTCTGGAGAGGGAGGGGCGGCTGGTTCAAGCATCTTCTGCCAGGAAGGACCAAGAAGCCCTAACCCCCTTCTTTACACACACGGTGTGCAGTTGTGGTACTCACGGCTGGGGGTTGAGTGGTAGCCCCTAGCTTGGATTACTTTAAAATGAGACTTTAGAGCCATCAACAGTCATGGTGGCTAAATGGAACCTCCATGCTTGGAGGCAGTCTATCAGTTGCTGGGGGGGCACCAAGGGAAGGCTTTGGACTCCGTGCCCCGCTGTGTGCCTTGAAAGTGGGGTTCGGGACTTCAGGGACTGTTCCTTGGCCTGGTTCAGCACCGCAGCTCTGATGCTCCCTGCATGTTCGAGCCTTTTGCGTCTTCACTGCTGTAGTCCTGATGGTGCATCTCCCCCCCCCCCACAACCAGGCATGATGGAATGCAGGTGAGAAGATTTATAGGCCTCTGGTTTCATTCCACCCTGTGGAGATCCTTCTCCAGTTATCCTCACTCTCATCAGAGCTCATCAGGCTCAGCAGCAGCCGTGGGCATCAGGCATAGGAAGGCTGGGAACAAAGGGGTATTTGGCCACAGTGGCGGCGCACCCCCTGGGCCTCGTCCGCAGATGGTCTTTGCTGGGGGTGGGAGAGGCCCTTTCAGGAGTGGGACTGGCCTGTGCCGGCAGTGGCAGGGGGGGAGGAGCAGCCCCATGGGGGTGGGGGTCTCTTCTTTCAAGGCAAGGGGGCGTGCTCACATGATCCAGTGGTCATGGCAACCATCAGCAGGGGAATTGAATGGGCTGCAGGCTGCTATGGCAGCAGTTGCCAAGATTATGGCAAACTTTGCTCAGACGCGCCACCACCAGTGCCAGGTCAAACCCCCCCCCCCCCCCAAGATGGCATTTTCTTTGACAATATGAAAAGTAGCAGCAACAGAAATTGCCAGTGCTCTCTCTGTGTGTGTGTGGGTGGGGTCCAAGCAGACTGTTGCAAATTTGGATGGTTGGGTTATTTATTCTTTTATTAATTCTGCCAGGGTTGTTTTTTTTTTGGGGGGGGGGGGAGTAATCTGTATTTTGTTCCATCCTTGCAAACGGCCTCAGAAGTGGGCAAGGTTTAAACTGTGGAAAGGAATGAGGAGAGGAAGGTGTGTGCCTCTGTTGGGGGGGGAGTTGAGGGGGGGGAGTGCAGGCGCCACGGGTCCTGCTGGGCACGGGCAGCCTGAGCCCCTCCCCTGCTTCTGTGTCATAAAGCCCCAGCCAGCCCCGTGTGTGTGTGTGTGTGTGTGTGTGTGTGTGTGTGTGTGTGTGTGTCCCCACCATGGTCCAGGGCTCTGTAAAGCTCCTGGCCCTCCTCCCTGTGGACCCGGGGAGCCTTCTGCAAAAGGGACGAGGGGCAGAACTGGCTCCCCGAAGAAGAACTCAGCTGATGCGCCAGTCGCAGCCTCGTGGTGGTTTTGGTGCAGCTATTCAGCTTTGTCTGGTGGCGCGAATGCCCAGCCCTGACCGTGGAGCACTTCTGGCGCCAGCATGACCGCTGACCAGAGGGGCACAGCTGGACACAGCGGGAGAGGGGAGGTGGGTGTCGGGTACTACAAGTTGAAAACACTCAGTATATCTGGGGTTAAATGTTTGTTTATGTTACTCACAGGAAGTCACATGTTTCTCATGTAACCAATGTTCTTTAGCTGTAGCATGCCCGGGAATTTTCTCCCTGATCTAGGGATTTGATTGAGACTAAAGTGTCCAGGTGTATTACCATTTTATGGCTTCTCTTCCCGTCTTTGTTTGGTGTTCTGAAGAAGAAGAAGAAGAGTAGCCATAATCTCTAGTTTTGTCTTTGTAGAGTAAGGATGTAGCCGATTATGCTCTGTTGTTATTTTCATCCCAGTTACCCTTCCCATGCTAGAATTTAGTAAAAACTTTATATTTTAATCACACATGGACTCTCAGTCTGAATTATTTTACTCTGGCACTGCTGGACTATATTATGTCTGCTAAATACCATTTTTTTCAATAACTCACCATCACCCAGCAGAGGGAGTGCCTGGCTGCCCCCGCCCTCCCGCTGTCCTCCTGCTTGCTTTGTAGGGAGCTGCTCAGGCCCTCTGT